TAGAATTTTGCAAGATTGAAAATATTGAATCTGAGATTTAAAAGAACAACAAACTATTAGCATGCGTTGCATGTTAAAGAAGTTGGTGCATCAATTTGTATTTATTTGCATATTTATTATGTTTTGCAAAAAAAACTTCTATTTTTAAATAAAAAATATTAATTAATGCAAAGCAGAAAGTGACTTGATGATTTACTTGTGTGTACTAAAGCTTTTAGATGATTGGGAGTCAGTGTAGGCAAAATAAAATTTGTTCGTTGAATAAAAACATAATGTATAAATGTTAAAATGGAAAGATGATTATCATACAAGAAAATACTCCCTGTATTCCCAGCTTTCAAATAATATATTTAGAACCATTATGTCAATATACAAACATGCCCTCATCTCATTGTATGGCATGGAAAGGTTTTTCTCGAATTTCAAGATAATGGTCTAGTACGATGTTTCCTAAGAGCAACACCTTTTTTATACTCTTGTGTTCGTAATGTAAAAATTAAATGTTAAATAGATAACCTGTATTTAATTTGCACATACCCCAGTTCTGTAAGTTGTAAAATACATCTCTTTCACATTTTTTTGAAAGCAGGCATGAATATTGTAGGGCTAAAGCTTGCGTAAATTTACCAGCCCATCATTACGTTGTCTAAAATATATTAATATTTTAGAATTAAATTTCTTCTATTTTATTTTAAAATGTTCAGCAAGAATTGAATTTTCCATTAACTTCTACCACACCTTGAAATACTTTTCTTGACAATGTACATCAGTTTAGTGCATAGAACAATGATTCTAAGTAAATTTAATGACACGGGACTTGTAATAAAGAAATTTCATAGGTCCTGAATCATAATTTTTACTATCTTGAGTATGGTACAGTAGGGTGGAATTAATTTGAATTTAATTTAAATCTATTTAATTTGAAAATTTGTTCTTCTACTTACCCAAGAACAACCATCTTTTCATGAACTGTTGAAACTTCAGAAGACTCATCTTGACTGTGGCTATTAAGAAATTGAAAATCATTATCTCCTTTCACCTCCAAGCTTCAAGACTTGCTTTGAGCCCCTAGGATGTACCTTCTAACATTTGTTTTTTGTTTTGGTGTGAGATATAAAATTTGGCCATTTTATTACATTCATTCATATTCAGTGTGTTCAAACCAATAAGTGTTTTCTGTCTATTTCTGGTTTTGGATGTCATTGTCAAAGTCTCTCTACTGTAGATGTCTAGGGCAAGTATTTTTTGAGTGCGCCTTTTGGTTGGGGGTGGGGATCAAAGGTTTAAGACACAACATTGTTGTTTTGTGTGTGTTTTTTATTCTCCCCCCCCCCTTTTTTCTTTTCAATTTGCATGCAGTGGATTAAAAATAGTCAAGTTATTTAAGTTTTTCATGCTTTCAATAATAGGCTGTTACTTCTTGAGCATCTTCAAAGTATTCCTTTCCATTGCTTTCCTTTCTTGTTTACTTTTTGGCTAAGAATAGCCAGATATTCTAATATTATCATTTCATTGACTAATATAACTAGTATGGTTATGTTATTATGAAAAGGTTTTTAGCAAAAAAATGAAATAAGAATAAAAGATGTACTTGAAAATATACGGGTGAGACTTATATCATGGCTGTCTGCCACTCAATGCTCCAGGAACCAACATTAAATACATTTTATTACTTTTTACTAAAAAAAATCTTAATTTTTTAATGCTTACACACAGATAATTTTGTGTATATTCTTACATTTTGTGACAGAAGACATCCTGAAAATGCTATCTGATATAGAAGTTCTTATTATTTATGTTTAAATAAATTTGTCCTCGGGGAAATTTAATTCTGGAAATACTGATGGATTTACTTTGTCAACATTTGTTGAAAAATTATTATTCCTTGTTTTGTGGGGTATTTTCATTGTTGGAAATCGATTTGATTGGCTAACAGAATGGTCATTCTAAATAAATAAATGTCTTTATTGATGGCGAGGCTCAGGCCATTTAGCCTGCTCTTCGGCCTGACCATTAAAGGATTATTCTTAAAAAGTTTAGTGGATTCTATAATTTAAGGAACATGGATAAAGAATCACCCTTGTCTAAATCCATTTCAGTTTATTTTTTAAGTAAGAAGTTGAAGAGAATTCTTTGTGCACCCGAAGTTGCCACCATATTTGGTATTGAGAAAAACAAAGACTTCACTGAAACAATCATACTCAATGAAATTTGTTTACATTTTTTTTTACAACTGGGCATTAATGTAATTACCTATTAGTAATCAATTACATCTACATTCACACCTGATACAATAACAAAAAAATTGCAATTTGCAACATTCATTAATTTGTTATTATCAGGGCTTGGATTCTGATGACACATCATCTTCTCATTGGTGCATTCTAGATGTAGCAAACTTGTAAATTAATCTTTATCACAACCTATAGGAGATAGAAATGTATATTTATTGGGTGATTTTTTGTTGACCTTAGCGTCACTTTTGTCATTTAAACACATTTTGTTTCTTTTCCATGGTTTAGGTTACTGAATGTTTCCTGAATTTATAATGACACACTAAAACAAAGGTTTTATTGGTTCATCAGCTCATGACAAAATTCTCTACTGCAGTGGAATCTGTTTTTTGAACTCTCAAAATTACTCAGATCTTCAGTAACTTCCTCAACTTTTCAAAACGAAAGATTGGAGCTAAGGACACATTCCCTCCCCCACAAAAAGAGACTTTATATTAAAAATAACTTTACATAAATAAATTTAATTTAAAATTCATTGAATAAATCATATTCATACAAATTTTTGAGAACTTAAAAATAAGGGGGGATGACTTTTTTTTAAAGTCATTTTCAATGAATTTTAAAGTCATCAGAATCTGAGCCTTTGTTATTATAGGGGAACCTTCATTTTGATGAGACAGGACTATTTAATATATTTCTATCAATTTGCAGTATATGCTTTAAGTTTAGAGATATTTTTGTTCCAATTTTAAAATTACTATTTCGTAATTATTGGCTGTTTTCAGTATTTAGCTCTTGCTACAAGCCAGTAGAAATGCAATGGTATCAGGTGCTATGAGAATTGTTTCTCTGTGAGTTTTTTCGTCAATTTGTTATGTATTATACAGTAGGCATTCAGAGGAATTAAGCTGTGCATGTTTTTCTCTTCACACCATGAGTTCTTGCAAGATGGGTCTGTCTTATTCTTATTGGCCAACAGGTTTCATTAAATTAGGAGCAAATAATATAGTAATTGTCACTCCATGATTCAAGTCAAAGCTGAGGGTTCTGTATCAATTCTGAACAGAGGTTATTCTTGTTCATGAACAAAAAGATTTTGGTCACTCTTTAACTCGCCCTCTTCGTCAGAAAATTGGCATGGTCTATAATTTAGTTGATAGAACATTTAATCTTTCCCATTTAAAACACCATACCATTAATTTGAACACTGAACGTTGTATTCTCACAGAAAATACATAGCAATTTTAAAAAACCAACAATAAACAAACAACTGATGGTTAGTGGATCTGTCAGTGTTATCTGTGGAATTGTTAAGCAAAACTTCTACCTGACAATGTCACACTCTATTTTCCTAGAATAAATAATAGTCTTCGGAAAAAGTTTTCTGATTTTAAATTTGACATAAAAATTAAGAATAAATTGCCCCTTAAATAAAATCTGTTTAGAAATATCAAACATACAATCTCTGAAACTGATAAAGAAAATGTAATTTATTACCTTAATTGTCATGAATTCAGAACAGACAACAAGAGCACTCAAAGAATAAAAAAACATTTTAATAACGTAATGGAGACTGACACAAAATAAACTCAATTTTTAAACATTGCCTTGATTTTGCTCCATGGGCTCTTATTTTGGCTAAATGAATTTTTGTTTATAAAATATTTAAGATTAATCTCTGAGACATTACATAAAAAGCACACACAATACATGTTGAAATTGAATATCCACATAAGAACTCCCTATAACATTTTTGTACTTATATGTTCCATTTGCCTTTCATTTTGTTAAGTGTACATCTGTTTTGACATGTACCTTCCCCCTCTGGTATTCCTGGATTTTATACTTATTTTCATTGTCTTTTTCAAATTATGACTTTTTATGTTACCTGTTCATACCTGCCGCCTCCTTGAAGCAGGTATGTATTTACAAAGGGAATTTTTTCCCCTTACTTTTATTTATTCTTTTTTATTTTTTATAAATTAAAAAAATGCCTAATTTAACATGATTTGGTACCTGTTATGTATATTTTGTACTTAGTACATATATTTTACTTGTAATTGTTTTCTTCCATGGTTTCATCCCCGATTACTGATAATTTTATTTTTAATTCTTTCATTTTAAACTATCATCAAAATTTGTGTTTTCATTTTCAGACAAATGTATTAATTAAAACTGTGTTCCAACATTATCGGGACAAACATTTTTTTGAAGACATGTTTTTGATTGTCAAACAAGGAAAAAGGATACCGGGTGTTAAATTATTAATATTATTGGTGTTGATCGTAATATTCTTGTTTATTTGACTGTCCAAATAAGATTTTTCAAACATTCAGTAGTGTTTGTGACTATTGAAAATATCACGTGTATTCAAAACATCACTACGTTAAAAATTCTACTCAAATGATCACAGAAACAATTTTTGCACAGCCGTAGCTAATTATATTACAATTATTCAATATCTTACATGAAGAAACAAATACTTTTGTAATCTTTGAGACAAAGTCTAAGTGCGTTAATTCTCACCCCTCTTTTAATCATATATTCAAAACCGATTTTTTAAATAAATTATTGCGGCAATTTGTCTCACGTAAAACTTAGTTCACACCTCTCTGGGTAAATGAACATTTGCAGGATTTACATTGAAAGTAAATAACAGGCATACACAATTGTGAATACTTTAGTCCCTTTCCAAAAACCAACATGATATGGCAAGAAAACAAAGGACAGCAGGAGCTAGGAAAGTGGTAAAAATTCTAATCAGTTCATACCAAGATGCACTTATTTATTAAGTTCATCACATTCAATACAAATTAGAAAATTCACATCAATTTTTTTTTTTTCATGTAGTACAAAACTACAACATATACAAAAATAAATGAAACAAATCATATGAACTGTTCACAACAGGTAGAGAAAGGGACCGCATTTGGAGTGATGAAGAACCAGTGGTCAATGCCTTGTCAGCCTCCTGCTGATTTCCAATCGTTTGTTAATAATAAGAAGGAAAAAGTAATGGATAAGTTTCCAATACTGCAAAAATAAATTAATCTTGACCAATTACACAATTAGTCAGACAAGAGGTCCAGGGCAATGAGCACAACAGAAGATACCGTCTCCTGCATTTCCAACACCCTATTTGCGGCCACTCCCATTGATTGGGAAACTAATGTTGCAACATACCTTGCTTAAGATCCATGCCGACTTCACAAAACAATGTCGTATTTGTAGTGTAGACCTTCCTATTGATGGTTACCAATATATTATTTGTTCAGATGCTTATGTTTCATCTTCCAAATTCACAACTCTATAATGTATAGTTGCAACAATGCCATTTATTTGAAAATAAAAATATAGTTATATCCAAGAGTAAACAAAAATTGGTAAATAAAATTTATCCAAATATAACCATACAATATAAGAACAGGCTAGCAGCTGAACATTCAGGGCAAGCCAGTTTGCTCATGTACAAGTCTAATGGACACAGTTAATGAATTTTACACACATTTGCCACAACTGAGAAACAACTGATCAAGATCTTAAAAGAGGGAATGTGTTTACATTGAAAATAAGGGTCAGGCAACTATCTACAAGGATAAGACTTATGTACTAAGGTCACCTTGCTAAGGCGCTGTCACTAGTTCTCCTGATCTTTGGACTGCCTCCCTTGTATGAAATGTGGCATTTGTTTAAGGCAGCATATCCTTCTGTTGAGACAGTCCTGGTTTGTCTGGAGGTGTTGCTTCGCACTGACCAGTCAAGTTGCAGCTGCAACAGACAACGTAAATATAAATACTGCAAGAAACCATCATTTTGGCCAAATTTAGGCCTACACATCTAAGTGGTTTGGAGACGATTTGCCCAATTACAGTAGAAGCTCTATATCATGCACTTATCATTGCTAAATAAAAAGATAATGATTTCAGAAATAATTTAAAACAAGTCTAATAAATTTAGTTGATATATTAACATGAAGAATAAAGCATTCATTCAGATATTGCTATGAATAGCTCATCCATAATTCACAAAGCTCAACACGCTTTTACTGTAAGTGAAGCAATTCGACACAAGACTCCCAGGCCCTGATTGCACAGCAAGGGAAAGGGCAAGGGCATGGGCATCTCCAGACAGGAGAGCTGCATACACACATAGCAATGAAATGGCAGTGTGGCATAAATACCTCCACATCGCTCCGTTCTAACACACTTCTGAGGGCAAAAAGATGCTGTGGTAGCGCTTCACCAGCTGCCCTCGCAGACCTAGGGAATAAGTGACTGCACTGCAATAAGACTGGAGCCCTCCCCTACCCACACCTCACCTCGAGTCATCTGACGCTACTGCGTGCAAGTGTTGTTTGCCACGGACAGGCACCGCTTATTTCATAAACAGCTGCATGGGGATCGGCCAAATAGCCTCTAGCTCCTGGCCTCTCGTGAGCAGGCCACATGCTCATACCTCGCAATGCCCTGAACAGGGCCTGAAGACCTTGGAAAGCCCATACTCATATGAGTTTAAGGGATCAGGCACGGCCTGTCCAACAGCTACCCTGGAATTGAAGGACACAACCCTTTCTCTCCTCTGGCATAGAAATCTTTGGTAGATACCTGCACTAAGACTCTCCTCTTTCACCCCCTATTCGACGACAGCAGTCGGCTACAACAACAGGACCCGACTGCACACAGGCGGGGTGTTGGGCCCAAGTGCTGAGTGGCTGCTGTCAGGCCTTGGCCCAACAACAAACACGCAAGTGACAGGGCCAGCTGCCACCCACCGGACACTCTTCCTGCCAAAATGGCCTGCATGGGATTGGTACACACACCCACCAAAGTAAATTTCTATTTCTACTAGTGATGAAATCTTCTCACATTTTTCACAGACGTTTTCACCCCATAAAATCTAGATTTCAATATTCTGTTGCCCTCTTACAATCATTTACACTGATCATTTTACAATTGCTTTGCCAATACCATATTCAAGCTTAGACTGAGTGCACAAACAAACACACACACACAAACACACTTTTGAAACAAGCTCTTTACACCATTTCCTCCTGATTCCATAGCCCATTCCCACCCCTACAAAACAGCAATAAGTAACAGTATGACTTTCATTATAAACAACAAATTTCTGAAAGGAAATAATATACCACTGTTTCCCATCACCATTAGTGAATAAAACAAGGAAACAGAACAAGGCAGGGTGCACTGAGGGTCTTTTAACCAAGATGAAGAGTGGAACTGAAAGGATTTGCAGAAGAATATATAAAAGCAATCACATCTGCACAAAGGAACAGGAGTGCACCAGGCACAAGCATCTCAACATTCAAAACTTCTTTCTCTCCTTAAGAATTTCCTATATTTAGAATATATAAAAGAGGGTTATGGAATTGGAATTTGGAATGAACAAGGGGAATTCTTTTCGTGGGAAATTAACCATGACAATAGGCAGTGTTTCTGAAATTATAGCTAATCTGTTTTCATATTACATTATTAATCACCAAGATTTTTATTGATAATGCAAATCGAAGATCCTCACCAACTGTGTACAACTTTTTACACAAAGCTATGAAATATTGAATTCACGCAATTCCAACGGATAATTCTTTAAAATGACTAAAAATTTACTACTAACTTTTGAGAAAAACCGACAACACTGAATTCTAATGAAGATAAAATTAATCACTATAAAATATATAATTGTATGGGAAAATGGTATTGTTTAAATTAAAAATTTAGACAAGTTATATCCCTCCTCAATTTAAATAAACATTTCAAAATTATACAAGAGGCATGAGATTCAAAAAGTATAAATAAATTTTTGAATACAACAAATGCAGTTATACTGAAGTTACTTAAAATCAGAGTATTTTTCACTCGTAACTGAATTATGGCTGAATGTAACTTGTGGCGTTATGGGAAGTGGTGTCACTACAATGCATAACAATCATAGTATGATACACCAATCAAAGTGTACATAAGCTGAAATCTAATGCAGTCACTTAAAATGTGACAATGAACACTTGCACATTAAGTTACACACTATAAATTACACTAGTGTCAGTAGCTGTAACCGTGGAATGGAGCATGCCTGCAATGTAAATCTTTTTCCACAATATTTACAATATGTTTGGACAAAAAACTGCTTTAATATGTGAGCCGTTGAACTTGGTACATTGGCACCTAGCATAATGAATGCTCAGAAGAAATTTTGCACTGAATGATTCGTTACTGCAACTTGCTAAGTACATCAATAGCAACCGGAAGAATTGATTAATGAATTTGGGTAACAGAAATTGGCCAAGATGAAAAATGTGGCTTACTGTTTAATTTAAAGGTGCATCTCTATTAAAAATTTTTTTTATTTAAATTTTTACCAAAGTTTATTCATAGTGTATTCAAAACACAAACAACTGGCAAACTATGAAAAAAATTGGTGAGCAAGTGAAGTGAAGTGTTGTTCCATGTCAGCACTTCTCATTTACAAATAGTGCTCGTGATGCCAATGAATTATTATTTTATTATGAAATGCATGTGACAAATTCTATTTGACTCGGTTTTCTGCCATAAAATGAATTTACAAATTACCTCAATACTACAATGTACCCATCTTAATTTTTCATGACCAGAATTATAAAATGAGAATTGTGTGCAAATACTATGTTAAATTAATGATCCAGTCAGTGAGCAAAACTTTTCAGCTCACCTTTGTATATTATACTGCATCATAAATTTAAAAGAATCTTGAAATATCACTCCTTAAAAAAACATATTATCCAAAATATAATTATATTTTCTAAATCTGATGATGAGAGAACTGTCTTAAGCCTTCAAAATATCTAGTCACAATGCACAGATATTTACTTTTATTCTCTTGCACCACAGTATACGTAACATCAGAACCTCTGCTTGGATAAGTTATTATAATGCTATATGCAAGACAAAAATGAAAAGAAGAAAGAAAAAAAAAATTAAAAATCCTAATGTTTAGCAATATTAGGACTTTGAAGCAGCATGAAACTTACAGAAGCAGTCACTATAAAAGATGTATAATAAATAACTTTCCCCTTTTCAGGGTAAGATGTCATACTAAAATATCTAATGGATTCTACCTTCACTTCTCTACATTTTTACTTGCAAATACATAATTCAAAGTTCTGCAGCATGAAAGCCCCTACTTTCCTTCTAATTTTGTTTAACAACTTTCAAAGTGCATGCAAATTGTGAAAGTAAGTCTTCTGTAAAAAGCAAATCCTATCAAGATGCTGTGCCCAGCTGAGGATAGGGAGGGGCAACCACTTACCTGGAAGATCTGCAAGGTAAAGCAAAGTTAGCTAGGCAGCTGCCGGAGCCCTACCTACCTGTGGCCTGTGCTCACTCACTGATTGTCTGGAGCAGTGCAGACGTTACGCTTCAGCTTCTGCAGGAGGCCTACCACTGCTCCGCCGTCCTGATTCCCCATTCACACCTAAACAAAATATAACATTCTTTGGTCTTTCTTTTTTATAAGATGGTTGAAGAAAAACTGGTTCTTTCACATAATGCTCAACCATCACAATTCTCATGTGTCATAGTAATTATTAAGAAACCATCAATTTCCCCCCATTTCTTTTCAAAATGTGTATGAGAACTCATGCCAATGTATTTCAGATATGCCTCATTTATTAATTGCAACTTATAGAACTAGAAAAGGGGTACTTCCATGTTAAACTACAAACAATTGTAACTTTTCATAGTATCTCTTAATCTATTTTATGACTTGTATTTAATATTAATTTGTCATGTTAGTGATAATCACTACAGAATATTTAATATGGCATTCAGAAAGAAAAAAAAATTCAGTGATAGGACTTCCTTTTCCTTTCACAAAACTATTTTAGTCACTATTTCTATCAAATCTGACAATGTTCAAATAAAATATCAACGATATCTGCATAAGAGTGAAAACTAAGTATTAATTTGCTTAATTGAGGATTGCCATTTTCTGTAATTTCTTTTGTAAGGTCTTCATATATCTCTATTTTCATTAACAAACCATCTTGACTATTTAATAGGAGTGCACTGTGGTGCTAATGGGTTTTGAATTAATTTGGAACTTTTGTACCAGATCAGTTAAACAATTATATTTGGGGTCTTTTATTTACTTAAACTTACATTCGTTTATTTGCAATCATTCACTGGCCAACAAAAAAATTTAAATCATTTTATCATGATCACATATAAACCAACATTGATCTCAAACACACACCACATAATAGCTTTCAAGCAAATGACATTATGCAATAGTCTTCTCTGAGAAAAATCACAGCAAAGTTCATTATATGTTTACACGAAATTTATAAAGAATCTGTTTCCAGTTATCACAATGACGTGTCATTCCCATCAATCATATATATCCGCATCCCTACCCCGATCCTTATCTGCCTTTCGATGCTCCTTATCGTGACGACTTCCTGAGCTTCGCTTCTCACGGTACTCTCCTCCATGACCACTGCTACTGCTGTGATGTGATGAATGCCTGCAGGGAAAAAAATTTCTTTTTAATTCCTAATTTAAGTATTTGTATGTACTTCTGTCAACTTGGCTGTTCCTTTATGACATACACATTTAGAAAAAGGGAAGTAAATAAAGCAAAGCAATAAGACTTTTCTACAAAACAATAATTGAAATATTTCCACAAGTTTAATTATTTGAAACTTTATGTACAATTTTACTTTGTTTCTGACAATTCACTTCACTTATGAGTAAGCATATTTATGTAAAAAAGTTTACTGGCAATTTATTCTCAGCAGTTAAGCATAACGTGTACACACCTGCCTCTCTCTTCCGACCCTTTACGACGACGGTGCTCGTGATGGGATCGACTGTGTGAACGGGAACGCCTTCTATGAGGACTATGACCACTTCTATGATGTGAACGATGAGATCGATGTTGCTCCTCTTCTGGACCAGGACCACGACGACTGCCTCGGCGCTCCTTGTCACGCATTCGGCGTCTTTCTTCTTCTTCTCGTTGCCTTGCTCGTTCACGACGTTCTTCTTCACGGCGCCGTTCCTTGTCCTCTCTGGCCTTCTGACGTGCAGCCTGCACAGAAACAAAGCCTTTTCACTACAAGAAATATTACAGCATCAACCACCAAGAGTTAGAGCCAGGGTGGGTCTCAGCAAGTTACATTATGCTTACATACATAGAGTTGATACACTTTTGAAATGAAAAACACCACCACTCTTCCAGTAATTATTGTCAAAACATACAGTAATAAAATATCAAAATATTTGATGATTTATCTGGTTTGTAATGCCTACCAAGCTGTTATTCACCTTTGCCTGCAAAATCTACAATTGTTGCTTGCAAAGCATGAAGTGCTTTTGAAAAGAAACATCCATTTTCACAAATGGGTACCATTTGCTAAAATATAACTAGTAATTGAAATAGGGTCCAAGCAGGTCTCATGAGCATTGTCCGCCCCGTCTCCACTCACCATCAATTCCTCTAGAGCAGCCTTTAGCTTCGCATAGCCAACGTGCTGCTTGCCTGTAAGATGATCATCAATGCGCTGCTGGGCATCTCCTACTATGAGGAAGGCACCACACACATCACACACTTCCATTTGTTTCTCTTGAGCTGCTGCAAGTTCTGCAGTCTGAAATCATTTTCAGGCTATAGAGTACATTTTAAACAAAAATTAAAACAAACATACCATAATGTAATATGGTTATGATAAATTGGCAGATGAAGTCAAAAAAAAAATTTCAATGCCAATAACTCACCTGTTGCCAGTGGCTATTTTCATTAGAGCCACGTAAAGCTTCACGCTCTTCTTTGAGTTGGTCACAGAGCTTCATCAATCCTTGAGCTTGTTCTACATTTCCTTGGATACCAGCTTTTTCAGCTTCAGTCACCAACCCATTGATCTTTTCAGTCAAAAAGGCAATTTGTTCTTCATTACGTTGAGTTTGGGCAGGAGAAAGGGAAACCTAATACCAATGCATAACATTAGCAATTTCTACTTTAACTTTAAATTAATCTGCATCTCTTACCAATCAACAATCTTCTAATATTTCACCATCATACTTACCGTTTCTGTTTTTCCTATTAATGCTAATCGTTGTTTTCCCTTGATTATCTTTCTTTCAACTTCATTCAACATACTCTGACAAAAACGTATAAATTCATCTTCATACTGTTGTTTCTTATAACTATTTGACTTTTCATATAAAGCTTTAACTTCATCATCATGAACCTTAGGACATGCTCCCAAATCAGCTCTGGTATTAACAAATAAATCATGAGGGCAGAACTTTACCAAATACAGCTTGCAATACTAGAAAAGAAAACAAAAATAGACGAAAAACAAGATGTAGATTATAACAACATTTATTTGGGACTTCAAATTAAGCTTCAAATGTACAAAATATCACTTAATAAATAGAACTAATTGTCTGAACCGAAACAATGCTATCCACGATGTGGAATTCTATGAACGGGAATCGCGTGTTCTAGAGAGAAGAAGGTGCAGGTTCTTCAAATTTACCTCGGGATCTTCCCAATTTAACTCCTTTGGTTTATCATTTGGCGCGATATTTCTATTTCTTCCCATAAGCTCATCGAGCAAAGCCGCGGCTGCTAACACCGCCATTTTCACGATTTCTTCCACTCACTGGCTCAATGTTTGGCTACTTTCCTAAAGAACACTGTATGTTGCTTGACGATCACTTTGTGATCAATTCATAATTTTTCTCGAAAACTTAAATTATTGAAACTGGAAGCATATGGAATATTTATATAGTGTATTTTATCACACTAATTTACTTTTTATCGAGAATTTCAATCCAGAATTAATAATGCCGAATATTCACTTCACTGACTCATTGAGTGAGTTTCACTCCCGACCATCTCCCGCAGACTGAAGAGTTCGTGCCAAAAGAATACAACTGAAGCACTGGTGCTGCTGCACAAGTTGAGGTGGCTGAAAACGTGAAAACTCCGATTTGCTCCCCGCCCATTTACCCTAGGCCATGCATTCCAGTGAAGTGTGGTGCACGTCATAACTTTCCCATGAAGTGTGTGGTTGGCATGTTTTGAATTTTACGTGTAGAAGATCGAGAAATTATGGATCGGTGAAGATAATCATTTAAGGACCCATGCCTCAAGATTCAGACGGATATGAAATGATAATGTCACTACGCGACTGGCGACAGGCAATTCGGACACCAACAGCATACAGAGTAGGAAACAGTACCTTCAGAATCCAAACACAGCTCATTAGTGCGATAGCCGCAATAGGATTGATCGTTTTGTTGGTGCTATATACTTTAAGTTCACCTAGTCGGCATAGATCAAGCGACTATTTTAATTCTGTGACAATGGGGCATGTGCAATCTCCTCCAAGTATAAAGCATTTGGTATCTCCTGTTACTATTCAGCAAGAGTCCTATAATTCTACTTATCCTCTTACGCCACCTGTGAAGATGCCAAAGGGAATCTCGTATAGGATAGGAATAATTAGTGATATGGATAAAAAGTCCAAGTCAACAAGTGAAGAAAATACTTGGATCAGCTATTTTAAAAAAGGCTATCTTGTGTGGAATCCAAAAAATAAGTATATATCTGTGAATTGGGATAATGCTGAACCTGTGGTATTAAAGTCAAATCTAGGTGAGAGTGGAAGAGGAATGGAATTATCTGAATTGGTAACATTTAATGGAAAGTTACTTGCAGTGGATGACAGGACTGGAGTGGTGTATGAAATAGACAACGAAGAAGCAATTCCATGGATTGTGCTGACTGATGGTGATGGAAGAACTCGAAAAGGTTTGTTTTCAAAACTTTTTGAAATAACAAGTATTTTAATAGCATAGAAATTATTTATTCTATTATTTTACTTCAAAATTGTAATAAAAATAGTATATCAAGAATTTGTATTCTTGTGATTATCTAAAACTGTTCTCTTATACTATTCATGTAGCCATATGTCAGATTCTTGAAAAGTGGGGTTAATATTCCTTTCATATTGGAAAAGTTAGGCCACAGTTTAAATCACAATTATAAATTTAAAAGTTTTTATTCTTTATTAAACGAAGATCATTTTGCTCAAAGATTAAAAACTTTAAAGTTTATGTGATTATATTTATAAATTTTTGAAAATTCATGTATGTCAAAAAAAGTCAATGGCCAAACTCTTCTGATATGGATGAATTGTGACAGTTTTGTGTTTTTATATGTGTAATAGTCCTTTCCAATTTATTCTTGCTTGCTATTCAGGATTCAAGATGGAATGGGCAGCTGTTCGCAATAGACGACTATGGCTTGGTGGCCTAGGAAAGGAATGGACATCACCCACAGGGGAATTGATTAATTTAAATCCGCAGTGGGTTAAAGTTGTTGCCCCAGGTGGTGAGGCAGTGCCTATAAATTGGCGGGAAAAATATAACAAGTTGCGACGTGCTGTTGGCATTGAATTCCCAGGTATGCTATATTGGTTGAAGTTGTTATTAAAGCTTTTTAAGTGTTAAACAGGTTTAATGTTTTTACTATTTTACCAGGCTACATGATTCATGAAGCTGTTTGTTGGAGTCCTGTTCATCAAAAATGGGTGTTTCTTCCACGACGTGCCTCAAAAGATCCATATAATGAACATAGAGATGAGGAAATGGGCACCAATCTAATCCTCACTGCTGATGAAGATTTTGAGGATATTAAGGTAAAAATTCAGATTTAATGAATCATTGAACTTTGAAGTAAGAACTAAATAACATTATACCGTCAAACATAGTAAGATTTCAAGGAATAAAACGTTTATTTTCACTTAAGGAGGTGTGTCACTTATTTAGGTACAAAAGTGATAATCTCAGGAATTCACTTACACAGATTTAATCCAAATTTGTTTTAATTAAGGTGAATATTAAACTGAACTGCAATAGTTTTACAAGAAAATTTTATTTATGAACATGTCACATATTACATTTTTTACTTCTTTTAAGGTGGAAATAAAAAATAATATACACAAAAGAGTTCATTTTGACACATTGAATGCTTTATAAAGTTTTAAGTTCTTGCCTTTGTATTCACACAAACAAATAATTTGTCACCTGCTGGTAATAAATGTAACTTTTTGACAATGAATTGAACAATCTGCTGTCTGCATGCTTGTTCTTTCTCCTAGAGTTCAACATAATTTTCAGTTAGCACACATTACAAAAATTGAAGAACATATCAGATTATCCAAAAATGTTGAAAAATGTTATCTTTTGGAGAAGCTTGAGAAAGTTAAGACCTCTGACAGCAAACACCAAAAAAAAACCTGTTGTGGTTCCTGCCACATACTAAGAGAGGTTTTCTGTGTAAAAATAATCATAATTCATTTCACTTATAGTTTTCTCCTTGACGGTAATACAATGTTATATTTTTTACTTGGAGATGGTGACTGTGAAACAAGTTCTGTTTTAGTCAGCTTGTGAAAGGAAGAAAAAAATAGGGCAAGTGTTTTAGCCTGAATGTAGTAATTTTTAAATTATTTAATGTCAAAAAACGGTTAAAAGACTGTGTGTAACATATGGAGACATACAACTTCTGCATCCACTCCAAATTAAATAAAACAGTACATAAAAATTTGGATATTATTTATAAATTGCATTAAGTGATTTCAATTAGATCTTATGGAATAATAGTTTCCTTTCAAAGTTTTGCAAATGGTTTAGTAGAAGTATTGTAATCCTGTGCTGGAAAACTGTGAATTGACGAAAAACTTATTGCCAGGTCCTGGTAACGAAAAAGCGAATAAATCTTGTTATAGTAAATAAGTGGAACCGGCAACGCTTCGCTATTGCAATGTATTACACCTTACTCACTACTGGTCTGTGATTGTTAATCACGTTTTACGCTACGCTTTGCAAATATTTTAATAGATGAAAGATTTTCTCGCGAGTATGGATTAATGTCCTGGTTTAGACATGGTTGTTAAGTAACCTGTTCTTAAAACGTTCTCCCTCAAGTTGGGGCATGCATTCTCTACGACACAGACTTGGAGAAATTTGATTAACTTGGTCTAGATTCAATTAATAATTCCGGTCGATATTTTACAATCGCAGTGGACAGACTATGCAGCTAAAGGCGCGCTTAATACTTGAGGGTGCGGCGGGTTGCGTAGAGCTTCTACTAAGGGGCGCTTGAGTCAGCATAAACGGAGAGTCATCAACGCGCTTCTATGTGCGACAGACATACGCACATTCCCGTTGTACTATACCTATATTCTTCGCGCAAGTGCAAGCAATAACTTGACAAAGTTTTATCCCAATCTCACATGAATGGTACGTCAGCGCATGAAATACGAACAAGCAAACTAAAAAACATTGATTTTTATGTCAAGTTACTTCCTCTAACACGTCAGAAGTGTTGTTGAGGGCCCTTGATGCCGAAAAATCGTTCGACGACAAAACGTCCCCCCGACTGTGGTTATTACTAGCGCCTAAGCCGAGCAGTCTATGTTTCTCCAATATCGATAATATCATCGATTTAAATGGGCTTGAGACATTTTGATTTTGGTGACACTTTATATGAAACCTGAACATTTTCGAAATTTTCTCAAAAAATGACTGCACATGTTTTATTAAACTTTGTTCTCGGAAGGTGTAAAGTATGTTTAAAGAATAGTGCATATTATTTTCGTTGAAATTCCTAATTTTTCGAGAGTTGCAAAAGTTCAATTTTTTTTCTGTTTCTTCTCCCATGAACAAAACACGGAACGCATAACCGAATGACGCAGGTCTTAATTTCTTTGAAATTTGTGAATTTTCGAAAATTGCAAGTTAAGAAATAAAGCCAGAAAGTATGTGCTGATGTAGCTCCACTAGTTCTAATATTCAATGACATAAAAAAGATATAAATAGACATCATACAAAATGTGTAGATAAAGTCCGAAGTAGGCTTCGATGTATTTGGACTTGAAACAGGTGAATTGCGCGTTAGCCAACACGAGATGGCTAGATTAGGTGAAATACGTTAAGGGAGTCTTATCCCCACCGTGCTCATCCATAACCATCCATCCGAACGAACGTTGCGAGATCAGTGAACGAAAGCGCAGGACGAGAGTTGGGAATGAGAGCTTTCAGTCTCGTAGTTCAAATAGAAATGGCTTTTTTTAATTAAAAAGCTATTTTAGCATACAATGCGTTGCGCAGGCTAAAGGATGTCTGAAGTTAATCGCGTACGCAGAAGACCGGAGCCTCGACATGAAATTGGACCTGCTTAGCGAAGCGTCACCGTGCATTAAAGTTTCAAATTGTAAATACGCCATTCCGCTCGCGGGCCAGTGTTGTCGCTCGCCATGTTCTTGCAGAGGTAGCCGGTTTCTTTTCGTTAGACGAGGGTTAAGAGCCATCGCGATGACGCAGAAATAGCAGATATATGATAATTAGAGACGGAGTTATGTGTGTGCGTTTTTTTTTTCTTTTTGGAAAAACACGCGCATATAATGCAGTTTTTTTCTAAAATACGCATGGCAAAGGCGATATATGACAAATTATATGCAAAATTGCAGCAAATAAAACTTAAAGAAATATGTAATAAAAATGAAAACAAACATTAATTGTTTTGCTCTATAGTACATTTATTATCTAATACTAAATTTAATGGTAGTTTACATGTGAATGTATTCATCAGACAGTAGTAGTTGAAAAAATTTGATCATAACATGTTTTTCAAAATTGTCAATAAAAAAATTACTTCTAATATCTGCATACGTACATTTGTGAATTGAAAATGCTATTTCAACATCTACTGATGTTATTGGGCATTTTTTAATTTGTGCCATTAGACTGACTCATTGACACATTAAATAATACGCTTGTAAATAGATCATATACTAAAAGTGAAATAAAATTATTCGTCAATTACTTGCCGCTAGTCATGGGACGCGGTTTGCAATACTGTTGATACAAACGATAAATATAATTATTTTCCAATGCTTTCATTTTATTTTAGCACTTGCTTTCCTCTTCAAAAAAGAAAATTTCACAGAAATAATTCTTGGATAACACAAGGATGTCATGTAAAAATAAACGAATTCTTTCTTTCATTTCTAAGCATCATAACATATCTCAAGGTTTCCTCCTGTATTTCAATAAATACAAATCATTGTTAAGAAAGGTCATAAGGTAGGCTAAAATCATGAAACGTAATCAGGATATTTTGAACTCCAATAATAAAACAAAAGCAATGTGGAATAAAGTAAAAAAAATCGACCAAATTAACCAAAAATCTTGTAGAGAAAGTTGTTTTAAAGGATAACCATAGAAATGTGCACAATACGGCAACAGTGGCTAGTATCTTTAACCAATACTTTTCGAGAATTGCTGATCTCACTAAGGGTCTCCATCCACAAAATTCAACTTCAGACGCTTCCCCGAGATAAGATATTATATAATACCCCTTAATATTATATAAGTATTAGATAATACCCCAAACATTTTAGTCACGATGTTCGTTTCCGAAACTTCTTTCGTTGAAATTCTCAAAATAATCGGTAGACTAAAAAAAATGTTTGGCAGGTTTAGACAAATTTTTGGATTGTTTGTTAAAGACTTGTGCGCCCTCCATTATACACCCAAACCTCACCTCACCTATTTAATGTATCCTTATGCACAGGAATTTTTCCAGATATTTTTAAAACAGCTTAGATTAAGCCGCTTTTCAAAAAAGGAAACAAAAATGAAATTCAAGATTATCGTCCAATTTCTCTCTAGTTGGGTTTTCAACAAAATTAGAGAGACTTTTTTATGTACGAATGGAAACTTTTCTTAGTAAACAAGACGCGTTTTCAGCATGGGGTTCAAAAATCAAAATCTACGGAGTCATATTTTCTTTTCTTAATAATGTCGCCTCATCCATGGATTAAAATGAAGTACCTATTGTAATATTTTTAGATCTTTCAAAACCTTTTGACGCCATTGATCATAACATTTTACTTTTAAAATTACGTTCTTATGGAATTCGTGGTATTACTCTAGATTGGTTATGCTGGTACCTTAACCAACGATCAAAGAGTAAAAATACCTTACTGGAATAATGGAATGTTATGGTACACACCTGTCCGATTCTTTGCCAATTGAATGTGGAGTCCCAATTTTAGCCCCCAATTCTCTATCTACTATACGTAAACGATATGCCCTCGACGCCTTAGAAACCAAAGAAATTCTCTTTGCGTGATATACGAATATTCTGCAATAAAGAAACCGTAAATTAGTATAACTATCAGACATTTCAAATTGGTTCCATAATAACAAATTCAGAAAATGTTCAATACAGTTAATTAAGAAAACTTTCAATACAGTTTCCATTTCATAATAAACAGCCCTTGTACTCATTGAAATAACGGAGTGCCATTGATGTTAAGGTAAGAAGGTTTTTTAGGTCTTTATATTCTGTCAAACCTTAAATGGATCGTCCATTTAAAGCAATTGAACACTAAATTAATTGTTTATGCTATCTTTCAGAATTTTTCAAATTCAGTCAGCCTCCCACTGCTCGTTGTATATTATCTCGATGTTCCAGTCCCGCCTAAGATATGGCATAATATTCTGGGGAAATACATCTTCTAGCCCCCAAACTTTTAGATTACAAAAAATAATTGTACGAATAATAAGCAAATCCCACCCACATGCTTGTTGTAAGCCTCTCTTTATCATTCTAGGTATCTTACCTCGCCTCTTGATATATGAATCAGTGGTTTTTGTCAAAAATGGCTTACTTAAGGGCCGGAATATATTTTCAGCAAACGTTGATGCCTATAACTGCAACACTCGACATTGTAATCATATTCATCAGGCGATAGTATCTACAGCTCTCTACAAAAAAATTACATACAATACATGTACATTATTTTACACCTTGCCAGATGGCATTAAATGATTAAATCCGTTACAAAAGTTTGTCCCAAGTAAAATATTTTCTGCTGCACAACTGTTTCTATATACCGAGCATCCAAACCGGGAGAGACTGCTCAGGGTATTAATTGATGTCACTGCTGTGCCTCTGACCGGTGGTCCTAGGTTCAAGTCCCGTCAGTGGTAGGATTTTCAACACTGCTTGTTAGCTAGGTCGAATTCAGCTGCTGTTTGAAGAAGAAATTCTAGCGGCCAGCTGCTGTGATCAGTAATTTTCCGTGGTTTCTCCGAACACCAGGCGGATGCCGGAGCAGTACCCTAACAAATGGCCCACGGACCGCGAGCGATCTCGTCCTTGTCTTATCCTCCCCTCTTACACTAACATGCACTACATCACCACACATGCCGGGAGACCCGTCGGGAGTTGAGACGTTGCCCCGACTGGGGCGGTGCCCCGGTGGTGGGAAATACCTGGGTAATTTTCTAACCATTCAGCGACCAATGTTTTATAATTGTCTCTTTTAAAGTATTGCAAAGCTGCTAACTCAATGTCTCGCAAATTTTCTTCCAATATTTCATCCATCATAAGATTTATGATTTGCGGGCGGATGAAAATGTATTCCTTCGATTTTGCATTACTCATCCGTGGAATTATTTCCTGCTTTGAAAATAGATTTTGAAGAATCTATAAACATGTGTCATTGAACTGGAATATAGAGAATATACAATTTACCCATTAACCCCGTAATGTCTGCACAAAAACAAGTATCCTTCAGCAGAATATTGCGCAAAGGTTTCGTGTCTATTTCTAAACTCTGAATTTGTTGTCCTGGCAGCAAATAGTTTCCATTACTGTAATCTTGAGCCTAGCAGATCAGATTTTTTCTCTGAATAAATTCAGGTCCCGTGACAAATCACTTGGGTCTTCCTGCCCTACTAGGGCAGGCTAGTGTGAGACTTTTTTGGTTAGTAGTATGGATCCTTTTAAGTGTAGGTTTCTGTTTCTGGGGGAAACACGGCTTCAATTTCATCCGTTTTCATGATTATCGACGTTTCCGGGGATACACGTACTGGTAATTCGTTAGTGTGTGACACAGGTCGCATAGCAGAAGAATATCTAGATACTTGATCGGTCACTTTTTCTTGATTTCCGGAATTCCTCCGGCCATATGTCGGGTATACAATTGCATTTCGAATATGGACTTGAGTGCCCGTTCCAAGAGAAATCGGTCGTTAAGAGGCGTCGGCTTTCAGAGAGATTTCTTTGTATTTGTTACATCAGAATTCAAGCTATTGGTAATGGTAAGAAATTGTTCACCGTGGTCACTGTAATCTAGACCATTCTTTATTATTCACATCTACTTGTGGTTTTGTTAACTACGAGTTTATCTAATGCTTTTTACTTTTTCGCCTAGTGATTACGCAGTATACACAAATATTGTAATGCTGCTGGGGGAAACTGCGATTTTTTGATAGAAAAAATCCTCCAATTTGCGAAAATGCAGGGGTGACAGTCATTTATGATACATTTTTTGAAGAAGAGGTAACAGCACCGTAACGTAATCGTCCTTATGACCAATGTAAGTGAGCGAAACTGCGATTGAAGTGTGATATCTTAAGAGTACAGTCACAGAAGATGCGGATTGTTTGAATTTGTGTCCTTCCAAACATTTGAAATGTAATTCATAAACAATTTTTCTTTCCCGTATACGTTACGTAGTATACGGGAGTAGCTATACGAAGTAATATACGAGATAGTTACGGAACGTTATGTAAAGTCGCGGAAGGATCGATTAACGTAATTTCAACGGAAATACACGTTGAGGTTCTCCGATTACCGAAAAAGTGTTTTTTTATAGAAACTAAAACCGTCCCGCCAGTCTATCCGCCCGCCCGTGCTAAATGCTTCTCCATAAAATGTCATGAACGCCATATTCTATATCCAAATTGTTTTATCAAAAATTTCATTAAATATAATTTTGTGGCTTGTTTTTCACTGTACTTAATATTTATACTAGCGGTAATTTGTTCACGTATTTATTATTACATGTGCTCTAAGTAATGTCATATAAACTTTCTCCGTAAAACTTAACCGTTTTATGTGAAAACGTAGCTAAAATTCCGCATTTCAGAAACACTCAAACGCCGATTTTATCAAAATCAGCTCCATTTTCTTTCTTCAAACTCTTCGAACGCGATGGTGCCTAATTACCCTCTTTATTACGACGTTAAGTTCATTTTAAGGGTATATTTTTTGTTTTCAAAAATTACACAAAATGTAATATTATTTGAAAGATCTCTCACGCCGTTAATGTGCACAATTCCAGCGATTTGTAAACACTGTTGTAATGTGAGTTTAAATTGTGTTCAAATGACTTCTAATGAAGTTTTCGAAAACTTCAAAAAAATTTTATGTTAATATGCTTCAAATTTGATTAATTACAGTAGGCCATTTCTTTACAAAAACGTCTCCCAAAGTTTCAAACAAATTTGTATTTAGGGACCCGAGGTTTTACTGCAGTTTTAATATTGGCTTAAAATATTTCCATTCTACTATTAGAAACCGAAAAAATTAAGGAATAAATTTAAAAAGTATTTGTGTGGAGACAGATGGCAATGGCCACGTTTCGCTTATAGCTAGCCAAGACCGAAGGAAAAATAAGAAAAGGAATACGGAATCTTTAGCATTCACTAGTTCCACTATAAAGGGTACCGTCTGGATAAGACGGTAAAAAAGTCCCCTTAAAACAAATGACATACGAGAAAGTTACACTATAACGTAAAAATTAATATTTGAAAGAGTATTTGCATTTTTCAAAGTGTATTTTAAATCAAGGTGATTTAATGGGGCAAAAAGGAAAATGTAAGAATGTTTGTTTTTTTAACAGCAGCCAGCAATCGAAAAAATCTTAAATACATCACAAAACAATTGTGTTTTGAGAGGATATTTTTTGAAATTTTTCGAGCCTGTTCCAGTCTAAGCCCAGTCCATTGTTAAAATACAGTAAAAAAATATTTTTTGTTGTTTTTCGAAAATATTTTTTGTTTGAATTTGGCCGCAGAGAAAATACCAAAACATTTTTTTAATAGTATGAATTATTTTCATATTGACTATACCAGTAGTGTTTAAGTTGACTGAAAAAAATCAAAATAAAAAAAACACCTTCTTTGGCTGTAGAGGCGTGTGGTGTAGCGCGTGCTAGGAAACCTGTCAAAAATATTATTTTGATGTTAGAGTTATAGTGCAACTGCTCGGTATGTCATTTGGCTTTCGGGGCACTTTTTACCATCTTATCCAGAGTAGCCCTATACCACATTTAATTTGATATAAAAAATTTAAAAAAGGTTTTTCCTTACTTTTTGATTGGTGCTGGTGGAGACCTAACTGTTATCATGTATAATAGGGTTTTTTAGAAAAAACTGAGCAGTTTGTTTATTTTTTCAAATCCAAACGTAACTTCTCGAATTATTTGCAAATATCTTACTTGTTGAGATAACGGCGCTATCTATCACGAATCACAAAAAAATGTTTTTAAAAAGACAGATCATACGTATTTTTGTGTAGAATTCGAATCGCGTACGTTTTGCTGAACTAGTGTTTTTTGTTGAATGTCACAAATGAGCGACTTCTCGGGAGCTATCGCCTAGGCTCTGGCCTCAGAATAGCACAAAATCGTTTCGCCCAAGGCTGAACTTCAGGGCGCCAGCGCACCCGGAAAGCCTGACAATTCGCAGCCACTGTTTGGCGGGTTCTAAGAAAATTAATTGGGTATTCATTAAAGTCGAAATTAATGATATGACAAGTTTTACATGTGTGGATTTGCCAGCACAAGGGATTTCGGAGAGTAAAATAATGTAATTTTGAAAAAACGTGAGTGATTTATTGAAAGGCGTATACTGGCTGTTGATGTTGAGTGAAGTGGGGTTGCAAGAGAATATGTTTCGGGGCGGGGTAATCTTTGAAAGTTGACAGAATTACTATTAGTTGGAGTGAAGTGCCTTTAAAGGTGTCGGAAACATGGCGCCTCGAGCCTGTAGCTGCGAGACTTGCAGCGCGTTGTTTTGCTTTGCTGCGCAGGTGTCGCGCGTGGGCGAGCTGGTGGCGACGCGCGGCTTCTCCAGCTTCAAGTTCCTGCCGGACAGCGGCGACAGCGTGGTGGTGGCGCTGCGCACGCAGGAGACGCGCGAGCGCGTCGCCACCTTCATCACGGCCTTCACGCTGGCCGGCGCCGTGCTGCTGCCCGACACCCTGGTGGCCGAGCGCAAGTTCGAGGGCTTCGAGTTCATCTGAGGCGCCACCCCTCCTCCTCCTGCTCCTCCTCCTGCCCCTCGACGTGTACAAAGCGGAATAAATTATTGCACCTTTTTCGTAATGCTCCACTTTTTCATTTATCTTTTTTCTGATTGTTCAACAGGAGACCAATTCCACCTCGCTACCTCGGAACCCTCAAACCCTTAGGATCTATAAAGGCATTTATTTTTTACTCATATGCGTTTGCTTGTGGTTGCCTTCGGTCGAGAAGATCGTTACGACGGAAATATGAAAAACAGTTGAATGATGCTACATGTTCTTTTATGGAGGGAATTATAAAAGCGATATGAAAAGAAGTCAAGTTAACGTCTAGTTAATTAGTAAATAAGTATATATGAATTAGTAAAATTAGTTGGAAAAAATAAAATTATTTGCCACGGGCGGTAACTGGTTGTAATGATCTCGGGCGACGAAAAGCCCTCGGGTATTTTATCGCCGCTCGAACATTAGAACCCTTATAACGCCCTTAGTGCATTCTTGATCCCAGGGTTTGAGTCTAGACGTCTTTTCGACAGTCAGTACCAGGCGAATGCCGGAGTAGCACCCTTAAAAACCCGCGTGGTCGTCGTCTCATCCCTCACCCTGCCTTTACCCTTACACATAAACACCTACAATATATCCATTACTGTGACACTTATGCAGGCATAACAGCCGGGAACTTAAGTTTTTGCCCGACTGGAGCGGTGCCCTGGAGGAAGGAGACCCAGCAAGATCACTTGTAGGTCGGCGTCACACCTCATGTTTCAGCGGGAAAGGAACACCTCCACTCTCAGGAAATATGGACTTACGAATACTGCAATTGGCGCACCGGGAAGCACAAAATAATAAATCGATCAAAATTTGTCCGACAAAAAGGGCATTGGTTAAGTCATCAAACGTTTCTTTTGTTGTTTTGTTGAGCTCATCAATGCTGCATGTAATATAATGGAAACAACTTAAAAAACACACATGAAAAGATTCGGGAAAATAACAAAATTACCTTAGAGATAATTCGACAAACACAAAACAACCTATCAGTGTTTAAAATATCCACATTACTAAAAAACAATATTTATTATATTAACATTAAACAATAAAGTTCACATTACATTCTCAGATTAAAATTACGTTACAACAGATATATTTCCAGGTGTATCGGTCCCGATAATACATATTCGCTTAACATGTTTTCTATCTAGCGTTTTTCAAGGCGTTAATACGTAGTTATTGGAACTCGTATTGCTCAAAATGATTGTGCTCGTGTCGTTTGGTTGATCGTTGACTCGAAGACTGGTTTCTGAAACAGACCTGTTGTCAAATGCTCTACATGAATAGCTATCGTCGCTCACAAATAAAGATACGTGTATCGTACGTAACGAACGATTATCAACAAAACTTGTTTAACTACTAGCTGAAACCCTGCGATTACGTTGTGTAAAGGACTCTAGAAAAGTTACGATAAAAGTTCAACATGTGCACTAAAAGGAAAATCGAAATTTTCAAAATATTGTTTCATATCGTTCAGTGCTTATTCTTGAAGTAAATGTAATGATAATTAGGGAGGTTTACATATTCTGGAACACTACATTCACTATTCACTGAAAATTGAGTTAAACACACTTCGTTTTTTCTGTACATTACTTTTATATACACTCAGCGTGTTTTTAAATGCACAGATTATCTTCGAACTCGAGAAGCTCTGTATATTCACTTCGCGGACTGCAATCTCACGATATGTCTCCTATTTTTGATAGTTCAATAGCAACTCGCCCAACAAACGGATAATCATTCCAACTACACAATATATTCGGGGGTCAATAGGAAGTAATGTCAAATGATGCAGATTAGCGTTTATTCTACTTATTTTAAGAAATTATAAAAATTCAGTTTTTATGCTATAAAATATAAGAGCAAGTGATAACACTTATAGGTCACACTACCTTTCATTTGTAGCGAAAATAACGACGTTCGAGTAGTATACCGCTTTATTTTTCTCTACGAAAACACTGTTTTAAATATATAGATTTGTTGTTCGACCACAGAAGGTATGTAGTATGTTTCCATCTCCTCACGTTCTGTCTCTCAAAATGTCGTACATGCTACGTTGCTGGGTCGTTAACGAGGCTGTGAACCGCGGAAGAGGGCTATTTATGGAGGGGTGATGGATAAAATTGCCTACTATTGAGAAAATGTGATATAGTGCGGTTTTTATAACTCTGACCTTCAGGGCCCTACATTACGGTAGCATTGTCACCATTTCGCGTGCCATTAATGTCGCAACCGTATCCAGCGCCGCGATCATGCGACATCTAGTGGCACGGCTGAGAAAGAAGCGAAATACAGCGACAATGTCACCGTGAAGTGCGGCCTTGAACGACAGTTATAAAAATCGCACTATAATGTATTGATTACCGGATAGAGGCTGTCAATAAATTTGAGCGATTTGCTTTATCAGATGGGGATTTTATTTTCTTCTTACATACGAAAATCTTTTAAATCTGGCAGAAAATACAAAAAAAGAACGAATTCTGATGTTCATAGTTTAAATCAATATCAACATTTGCATGTGTCTTAGCCAAATAGAAAGATAAGATCTGTATACCTATTCTCTTCATTTTCTAATCAAGGCAAAAATAGTAGGTAAATAATTCCATCGTGCTGGTTTTTAAACGTTCAAACAATATTTCCATTCATTGATTATGTGTGTTGTTATCTGTGTTCATATTTCAATTTTTATTGTTCGCAACTGCGTAGTTTCGGAAATTAAAGAGCCTATTGATGCCCAAAACGTATGTGTAACGCAGCCCTAAATTATTTCTGCCTCGTTCTGTTACGGCTGATACCAGGAAACTTTCTTTTTTTATTAGCAATAAAATGCAATTTTGATAAATTGTTAGAAGCCGGTTTAAAAAAAGCCACATTGTCGACTGGTTTGCTCTCTTTGCTGTAAACAGTTATGGTCTGTGGGACTCATGATCGTGAACTTTCCGTTCATCAGTACGTACCTAAATGCATTTCAACGAAATAGGGTGGAAAACAATTGTCTGATTCACTTACAAGCCATACTTGTTAGGAGTTTCTGTCTGTGGTCCAATGCAATAATGCTATTGTCACTGAACGTCCTTCAAAGTGCCATCGGGAAATGCAGCAATTTTGTGAGGCTGCAACTTTCTGTTTGCGTCAACCAATAGAACTTTCCTAATGTGTAATGCCAGTACATTTTGTGAGTGTGCCTGTAATCCCAAACCCCCTTTCATTCTAGGGCTATGCCAGATTTCGCGTAGATGCCAAATAATATCATCTGGTAATTATCAATAGACATCTCAGAATTGTTCGTAGAGTTCCGTACAATGTGTTTAGAAAGTAGGTGCGACCAAGACTTTACTGATATTTACAACTATTAAATTATTATTATGTACCAAGGTTTTAATACCTTGGCTTTCGGTTGAAAAGGTTAAATATGACTATTAGGTTCAGTATTTTAGGGAAGTGGTGGGAAGTAATTGTACAGGGCCTTCGTTAGATTAGCATTTCGTAAGATTAGCATTTAAGTTATGTGCCATTTTTAATGTCAGTATCATGTTAATTTTTGGAACAAAATAAATTGCAAAGTACGCACAGTACTGATTGAACGTTATCTTGTGTAAATCGCGAGTGCTGATAACTGGGGCGTTATCGCGATCTAAGTAATACCTATACTTCGCTTTTTGTATAGCGACCGATGTCATTAGGTTGTTACACATCCTGCCTTGTAAAATGAATATTTTTAATTAACTCGTGAACGTCCTACTCAACGAGACTCGTGGCCTCAGAAATGTGCTTATCGCTGTTCAGAAGATTCATTTTGTAAGGCTGGAGGTGTAGTAATGACGTAATGTCATCGACCACCATAGAAAAATCGAAGTAGTGACGCGTCATCGAAGCCTTGCAAATGACATAAAAATATGTTGGAAAGTCTGCGTTCTCTTGAATTGACTCGACGATACTTTAGGTAAAACGCAAAAGCAGAAGGCTGGAGTTTGGAAGTATTCTCGGAAATGCATAGCGAAGCACCAACTCGGCTCAACTTTGAAGTATTTTGGTACAAAAATATGTTTGGATTTTTGCAGCGCGCTTTGAACAGGCCAATTAAAGTAACTAAAATTTGGCTGTGATTCAAAACTACAGTAAACCCTCATTCACGCGAATCCCAAGCGAACGAAATAATTCAAGTTCGTGTTATCCGATTAAACAGGTTTACAAATATGGGTAAATTTTTGGACCAGAGACAACGAAGGTGTTTTCTTTAGTAATTTCGCGCAGTGAATTCAAATCCATAACTTTTCTCGCCATCTGGACATATTTCTTTGATTTCTCACGTTGACAGTATCGAGGTCTCGCGTCAATACCGTGGTTGTTTCATTCGTATTCGAGTATTTTTATGGTTCTAAACCGAAGGTGAGTGAAAAAGGCCAAAAACGTCGTGTAAAATCAATGAAGAGTATTTTTATTGTTTGTGGCTTGTGTATAGGTAGCAAAAAGGGTAAAGCCATAACATATTTTTTGAAGAACGCTTATCTTTACTACTTCGGATTCAGTGTCAATAGCACGAAAAGCTAGGGTACCAAAATTGTTCAGCAACGAGTGTCGAACCAAGCTGTACAAATTGTCGAGGGGCGAGAGAAGCTATTTTCCATTTTCATCGCATATGCTATGAAGTGAACCTGAGAACGACATGGATGGTAGTTACTTTTGAGTACGAACGTGGTCGATATAAATTCCAAAATTTTTAGCCATTGAAATATCCCGAAGTTGTATACCCAGGACAACAAAGTGACTGTGCTACACTTGATTCATCTCGTGCGTTACTTACACCTTACACATTAAACTTGATCTTATAAAAAATTCGTTAAGGCCCTTGACCGAGATGGACCGGGGTTCCAGTATCTGAGAAAGCTCTTTGTCAAAATTTCTTACACCAAAATCAAATGAGTTTGACGGACCCGATGTTAGAAGACTGATGATGAACGACAACTTTACTAAACGTTCATCGGCCACGGAAGCAGCAACATAGGAGTCATTGATGAGTATTGTTTGAAACTTCCTTGGTAAAAGGAAGAGTGACGCATACAAGCTGATTGTTGCAAATATTTTTTTAAAGTATTTCCACAAAATGGTTGTTCGAACTAGCGATGAGCAAGGAGAACGACTAAACCAAGATTTACAAACAACCTCAAATACTACAAGGGTTTTTGGGACGAAGGCATGCTGAGCAATTATTGTTGGTCTCATATACGTTAGACGAACCTAAAAATTACAGTTCTACTGCACTTCATTTATGATTTTGTTATGTTTTTCCAAATAAAAGAATGATTTTTGGTTAAAAATTGCAAACCATGGTTCATTCATTTATCTAACAAACCTGACCTGAGAGCCGAAAACCGACTGCGGATTCGTAATCAGCGCCAAAAGTTGCCTGAAAAACTGCTTTCAGCTCCTCTGGTCCAAAGCTGTGTAAACATGGGTTATTATAAATGGCCGTATCGCTGTAATCCCTGTAAACGTATTGATAATTTCAAATATTATTTCTACTGATCGCTGTGAATACTTTTACATTCCCATCACCAATAGCCAATCAGAATATTTGATACACGTGACACCTCGCACAGTTTTAGATATTTGCCTCTTTTGGCCCATTTGCCCCATTTATCTCTGCCTTTGGCCAATTCTAATCAATATAGCTCAGACTGCTAGGGCTGCCAATTGCCTGGATGCGTTTCAAACTAAATGAATGCTAATCGTATGGCGCACGCTGCAACCCATTGCCACATGCAGTTGCCGCGATTTCAAGCAGCTCTGTCTGCTGCCTGGTGCGAGGGACGCCGCAATTGTCGCTCGCTGCTGTTGAGTTCTTCTCAGACGGAGGACGACATTGCTGCTGCTGCTGCTTCTACTGCTCCTGCTTCGCAGGTAGGTTGCCGCTGTAATGCACTAGTCGTTTGTTAGTCGTATGTTCTGCTTAGCAACAGAAGTTGTTGGGGGACTTGAAATAAACAAGTAGAAAGCTTTGAGATGTCGAAGTGAGTAGACCTATATAGCTTCTTAGATCCACGATAGCCGTGATTGATGAACTGTATATAGTTCTCTGGAATATTTACATTAGTACCCGCAATGCCAAGCATTAGAACCTTGAAAATATTGTGAAGTATTAAAACTACATTGTTAAGAAATAATTCAATTTATTAAGACAAATTGGCGGGTGGTCTGCTGGTCCATGCTTGGCATTGCGGACTATTATGATGCTACACCATCTGCCGGCCAGATTTGTAGCAATAAGAAAATACTTTTATTGTGTGACTTGCAGGGCCGGATTTAAGTAGTGCTGGGCCCCAAGCACAAAATTGTGTTGCCCCCCCCCCCGAAAAAATAGCTCCATCTTTTAAATAAAAAATTATTATAGTACAAGTACGTTCTGTACAGATACAAATGAAAACTGATAACTTTCTTATAGAAATGTTTACTTGTGTTACATTTTTTACATTAAATACATTTTACATACTTTTTTTCTGCTCTTCACTGCAGAATGGGGGCCCCCTGGTGAATTGGAGTCCCCAAACAACTGCTTGTTTTGCTTGTAGGTAAATCCGGCCCTGTGGCGTGTTATCTGGTAATATTCATAATAATCTGCAACCTAAATATATCCAACCTACCCTAGGTTTTCTCTAACCTGTGTCTGAGTCTGAGAAAATTGCTATTGAAGTAGGAATTACCAAATATGATAAGGGCGGACGGTCAGCAAACCACTGTTGTTACTTTCCTGCAACATTTTGGGTAACTCTGGGCTCTTATCGCATATCGTGCCCCCTCGTGAAGTAGATTTACTAATACTAGCATTAAGTGTATATTAAGCATATACAAATGTAGAATGTGAACTGAACTTTGTAAAACATGAAAAAGTTTATAATAAAACAAAAACATACTAATTTAGGAATATAGTGACAAAGTAATCGAAATGACGTTGTTCCAAGTACGTTCCAGTTGACCTTTCACTACGCGTGTCCAACGGTCGTGACGACGGTCTATCGGCGACTGACCTTCGTAATAAACAAAATAACATAGAGCCAGCACAAGTAATAATTTTAACGTATTTTATGCAAAAGCACTTTGTTACCGAACAGTTTTCTAGGGAAAAAAACGAAAACTAATTCATGGAAGTTAATGAAAAAACTGACTTATAATGAATTAACCGAGGGGGCGTATATGGAGAAAATGGTTTTACAAAGGATTGAAAATAATCCCTATGAAATTTCTCAGTGTTCAAGTCAGAATAGTCGCTTGAAACCATGCGCTTTCAAAACTTCTGAAATTCCTCGTTTGCGGGTTCATATTATATCAGTCGTTGCCTACTATCATTCTCCAATCTCAAGGCGTCTGTAATCAATTTGTACGGAAGGGGACACGATAAAATACGTACATAAAATGAACGTCTTTAAGGTTCAGGGCATTAGTTGTAGTCTTCCCCCTAACAACTTTAAAAATTTAATATAAGTTAAAAAGATCACTCCAAATGCAAGACGAGCGAAATAGAGGGAAAGAATTTGATAGATAATCAACGTTATCGGAGCATTGTTGTGGTTACATTAACATTAAATTAAAAATGCTAGGTGAAATTAAATCAGAAATATACCTTGTGATTAAATTTGAAAAAATGTTTTCTATTCACTAGATTTTAATTCAGATTCAGAGGGGGGTAGAACTCACACGTTCATCCTAGGGAGGTGTTTGAAAGTGCTACAAATTCGGGGGAGGGGGATATAAAACTAATATATTGCAATCGTATTTTTTAAATATTTGCAAACAAAAATCTGAATGAAAAGGTTTTCCGTCACCTTGCAATGTCAAACATATTCAGGCGTAATTATATAATGTTTGGAAATAATAGGGTATACCATTAATTCCATTATGGAAAAAGAGGACACTTCTTATAAAATGTTTTAATGCAATAATTTATTTTTCGTAAAGACAAAGTACCTTCTACTTACAAAATAAATACTTCAATCATAGTCATCACTTTCACAATCACACAATAGGCATACTTCATTATCATTACGGTCTTTTCCACTTCTATACCAGAAGTATTAGGCGGATAATGAAATTTCCCTCAACAATGATACTTTGCTTTGGTTTGGTTTGGTTTGAACCTTGCAAAAAACACTTTGAACGTTTCTTTACGTATTCAAGGTTTTGTGGCATCATGCTCCAAATATAAGCATCACAGAAATTAAGTCCAAAGGCCAGCAGACCAGTATTAACACAACTGAGTCCAGGACCTATACCCAGCATCACAATACGTAGTACCTAATGGCAGCATTGTCGCGTTAAATGAGGTAAAGGACATTTCAAGGAATATAGTGGATCTATGCTTTTGGCGGTTGTTAGGCGTGCTAGTTGAAGTTAAATGCCATTTATTTACTCACCAACATTTATTTATACAAATGTTAAGTTGTGGGGATCACTAATAAGTTGAAAAAAAAGCACAGTATCCTTCGCACACCATACGTCTAGGTTGCATTTAAAAGTAACACACCCTTCCAATAAAAAAAGGGCATTTCGTTCTTTGTTGTAAAATTCACCCAGACAATTTTCTTATAACAAAAAGGGGACGTATGGTAACTCTAGGAATGAAAGCGCAGAATCCGTCGACATTTTACCGTGGCTGGAATATTCTATGCATCCGTGCGAATTCATTTCTATAACACAACACATGATATTTGGTCAGGGATACCCTTCATTAATGGCTTATTTTAGTAAAGAAAAAGCAAATATCGGACGATGTTTAACCTTTATTTTGAGTATCCTTGTGCATTTTTCAACTTCTGCAATACCATATTAGTCAAAAGCAAGAAGACTAGGAGAGAAAAGGCAAAAATCCGTCGAGTCATCGCATTTGGAGTACCCTTTTGCATCTTTGCAGATTCTGCATTGTGAAATTAGTCAAAAGTATATTTTAGAAGTACTTTCTGAAGAAAAAACGATGGTTTTAAAGCATCCGTTGTCATTTCCCCTTCTTTTAGTGTATCTTCATGTATCCATGTAGATTCTGAATTGCCATATTAGTCAAAAGTGTATTTGTCCAATATATCCCATATCCTCCAGTACTATACCTTCATTTGGATTATCATCATGCATTCGTGCAGATTCATTTCAAGATTAGTCAAAAATGTATTTGTCCAAGTGTACTCTGTACAATATAAATGCAAGAAAAAACAAACGCCCAATACGTATTGATTCATTATTTGCCACATTTTCAAAAGTTATTTCCTTATCTTTGTCGTTCTTTCTTAAAGTTTCATCGTTTCTTTCTTAAAAAATTATCCAAGAGTACTTTCTCTTTATAAAACCCATTTTTCGGAAAGAGAACATAATATGTCAATGTTTTTCCCTTTATATGGAGTACTGGGCGGGCAAAAAATTATGCATTGACGTATTAGCCGAAGTCAAGCGATCAGCTCAAGAAAGAAAACTCAAAACTCAAAACCATGTTTTCATTTATTTGGAATGTGCTCGTGACCGGTGCCGATTTTATTTTCAGATTATTTAAAATTTCATTTTTGTAAGCGTTTTATTTTCATAAAACACTGTCTGGCAAGAATAAGGGTGAAAATCCGTCCCTCCTTTGTTTGGATTATTCTCATGCACACGTTAAATTGAAATGTGCATGTTTTGCGTGTAAATTTGCTGTTACTGTAAAGCGCGATCACATGTCCGCATTTTACCATTCTGACGACTGTCTTAGTGAAAAATTTATATATTGTATTTCTTGGGAGAAAAGACGTCCAAATATTTGTATCTTCTGCGTCAATTTACTGTTTCTGTAAGGAAGGACAACGCAATAACACGTCTGCATTTTAGCTTTCTGACGATTTTCTTCATGCAAAGCTGAATTTTTCTATTTCTGGGGAGAAAAAGCGTTTACATGTTAGTATCTGCTGTGTTTATTTACAGTTTTTGTATGATGTAAAACGCAATCACCCGTCGGCAATTTACCTTTCAGACTTTTGCCTTGTTGCAAAAGTTTAGTAATCTTTTATCGAGGAGAAAATTCTTAAACAGTTTGCATTTTTTGCTCTAATTTACTCTTCCGGTTAGGAGGGAATGCGCAATCACATTTCTGCATTTGCATTTTACGGTTTATATGTTTGTCTTCATGCAAACCTAAAATATATTTTTGGGAGTAAAAAGCGTTGACGTATTATTATTATTATTATTATTATTATTATTAATTATTATTATTGTTGTACATGTACTGATTGTTTATAAAACTTAAAGGAATAACGCGTCGCATTTTAGCCGATTCTGACGACTGGTCGTCATTCAAACTAAACCTATTATACTATGAGAGCAAGACGTTTTACATATTTAGTATCTTCTATGTAATTTATTCATCGGTGTAAGAACGACAAACCAAATTCCGTTGCAAAGTTATTTTCTGACGAACCTCATGGCAAGGATAAGCATTTTATTTGGGGAGAAAGGAATTCATTTATTCGCATTTTCTGTGCTGTTATTATAGCATGATAGCGCAATCATCGTCGGGATTTTAGTTATGTCGATTGTTTTCATTCGAAATAGTTATCATACTTATGAGAATACCAGTTCAAATATTCCATCTTCTGTGTTATTTATAGTTCTGTAGGACAAATAGTGCAATAAACACAGATTTACTTTTTTAGCGTTTTCTTCTATTGCTTTCATTAGAAGTTAAGTATTAGAATTTTTTGAAGAATCACATTGAAAATTCCTAACATCTGTGTTATTACAGTTGTAGTAAAAGAGGTAGTGTATTCACGGCGTCAATATATTAACTTATTGCGTTGATTTATTCTTTGACGTTAATTATTCGGCTTCTTAAAAAAACATTTTTCAATCTCGTGCTATTGTTGATCCTGCATTGAAGGATTGATTGGCAAAATGTCGAATTTAACTTTCATGTCGAACTATTCAATGTTAAATATATAGGTTCTTTGGAGAAAATATAGATAATCCGTGTTCATTTGTAGTTTCTGTACGGAAAGCCAATTACCCCGTCGCTTTTTAACGTATTTCAATTGTCTCCCTTCAAACGTTACATGCTCTACTTTATTAAAAAAATGTAGAATATGTTCTCTTATTCAATGTTGATACTTGTTATTATTAATGAGCAGAATCGTACTGAATAAACCCTCCCTTCTGAGTTCAGGTATAGTCCCTTTAAGAAAGATTCCCGTGGCGTTTTACTTTTTTATGACGATTGTCTTCCATTCTTCTTGTTCATCATTAATGATTAATATTTAGAGAAAGTATTTCTATATTTCTGTCTCTTGTGTTTTTGTATATTTTTGTAAAGAAAGATTAGGGCAAATACCCCATCGGGTATTACCATTATGTAGATTCGCATTATTAAATGGTTAAGCACATTTAATTCTTGAGAGAAAGCATCTCAAATATTTCTGTCTCTGTGTTTTTGTATAATTTCTGATAGAAAATTTCGCGCAATTAAGTCGGATATTACTTATTGTTGTCATTGATTCAATGACTAATCATTTATTTCTTTAGAGAAAGCCTATTAAAAA